CGCTGCCAGCACAGCCACCACTGCCACCGCTGCCACCGCTGCCACCGCAGCCCTGCAGCTCCTCCGCCTGGTCGGCGACAGCAATAGTCGGAAACAATCAGCCCTGTCCATTCCCCTTCTCAGCCCTTCCCGCATTCCTCCTGTATCTCAAGCCTAGATAATCCACTTCGCAGTTTATTTACTTCGGGTTTCTAAGTTATCTTCCTTTTTCTGCTTTCAGATATGGATTACTGCTACCGATGTAACAACAAAACCTACTGGGCTCCCGTCAACAGCACCACATGCTACAGAAAGACAATCTATTTCCTCGCCTGGACTGACTGGTTTGCTATTTTCCTCCTCCTCCTCTCTGCTTTTGGGGTTGTGCTGGTTTTGTCGATTAGTGTAATATTTACTAAATACCTGAATACGCCGGTTGTAAAAGCATCTGGAGGTCTAACTGTCTGCTATATTATTCTTTTCAGCCACTTCTTAATTTTTTTAAGCACCGTCTTCTTCATAGATGAACCCACAGAATTCAAGTGTAAAACTAGGCAAGCCCTCTTTGGCATAAGTTTTGCACTCTGCATTTCATGTATTTTAATAAAGTCATTAAAAATTTTACTAGCCTTCAGCTTTGATCCCAAGCTGCAGAATTTCCTGAAATGCATGTAAGCTGTGGTCACCTGCACTGGAATTCAAGTTATCATTTGCACCTTCTGGCTAATATTTAGGACACCTTTTGTAAAGGAAAACTTCTCCATCCCAAGAGCGATAATTCTGGAGTGCAATGAGGGCTCTATCGTGGCTTTTGGGATTATGTTGGGCTACATCGCTGCCCTAGCCTTCATTTGCTTCATATTTGCCTTTAAAGGTAGGAAGTTGCCAGAGAACTACAATGAAGCAAAATTCATCACCTTTGGCATGCTAATTTACTTTATAGCGTGGATTGTATTTATCCCTGTTTATGCAACTACATTTGGCAAATACCTGCCAGCAGTGGAAATCATCGTTGTTTTAATATCCAATTATGGAATCCTCTGCTGCACTTTTCTTCCAAAGTGCTACATCATCATTTACAAGCAAGAAACAAACACAAAATCTGCCTTTCTCAAAATGATTTACACGTATTCCTCCAAGAGTGCAGGCAGCATTGCTGTTAGTCAGATTTCTTTGGATTCAAAGTCTTCCAGCTCTCGAGCTACTATCTCAGACTCGTGTAAAGCTGAGAAAAATGCTGTGAATGGAAGCTGCCATTTCCAAGTGCCTGGGCAGACACTAATAAAAGGGGAAGTTCTTCATAAAAATACTGCAAGGACTATGGCCAGGAAAAGACTCTCCAGCATATGACTGGGCAGCGTTAAAGTCGTAGAAGATGAAAAGCCATCTTTGGAAGCCATTTCTCTTTCAGGCCTCTTTCCTTTTGGCATCCCCAAAGAGAGCAGGCCACACGAAATGCCTTCTCCTCTGGTACTTAAGCAGTTATCCATTGCCAGATTTGCAAGGCTTTCCTTGCTCACGAGTCTGGCCCCTGCTCCTGCGGGCACCAGGAGGTGCAGCGCCCTTCAGCAGCTCCCTTCCTTCCCCGGCCCGCTCACGTAGACCTGCGGGAACCTATTCTGCAATCTCACTTCCCCGAGTGAGGCAGAAGCGTCAGGAAATTATTATTTCTCACAGGCACGTAGGTGGGAACATATGGGTTTACCCCACTTTTTTTGCGTCTTTGATGCCCAATTGTTTAAGGAGCTCTTCTTCTCACCTGGCTCTGTTTTGCAGATCAAACAGAACCCTTTCCCAGCCTTTGTTTGCTAGGATAAACAAGTCCAGTCCTTTAGTCTCCACTTTTAAGATAGGCTTTCCATTCTCCCGAACATCCAAAAGTAACCCTTTTCACCTGGTATCAGTGAATCCTTTTTTTTTCCCTCCCCAAAATTGCACGCATTATTCCAGATGAGTGCTTCAGTAACTTTTAAAGTTCCTCATATTTACCAGGATGATAATGAGCTAGAGACAGGTCTATCTAAAAATTAAAGCATTTCTCTGGAGCTTTGTAGTTATATGCATGTTCATCTACTTTTTTTCCCCATACTCAGAGGAAATACACTGATTCACCTCACGCACCTCCTCTGATGCATGAGGAGAGAGGACCCACTATGTTGTCCCCAGGTGTCCTCTTAGTTGAGGATATAATGTCAATGTGTAATGTCAAAAAACTTATAAACCCTAATTGATTCCTCTCATTAGCATAAATAATGTAATGACCAGGATCAGCATGAGTGTATCCTGGCAATTTTAGCTTTTTTGATACATATTTTAAAAATCTGATTTTCAACAAGAAAATGACAATGCACCATTCCAATACGTAGAAATAGCACAAGAATGAACTGATATGAGCTGCACTGGATGAGTCTCTGCTCTGTAGCTCCGTGAGTACAGCTATGCTGTGACTTCTCTACGAGAGGCAAAAGGCACGTTCAGAGAAGGAGGAATTTTTCTGTAGGGACAATAGTGCCACAGAGCCACAGAGCTTTTTCAAACCCTAAACAACAGAGCTATGTTTCCAATCCAGGACCGTGAAAAATACTTTTCCGTGTTCATAAAGCCCAAACCATAGAAACCCTGCTATTTTAACTTCTGTGCCATGTTACTGTAAAATAATACTAAATTCCTTGAGTTTTGTCCCTGCTTCTGTTTAGATCTGGTATAACCAGATGTTGTGGAAGGCCAAAAAGAAGTTCAGTAGATTTGGTGTTACACAGGCGTATTCTGTTATTGTTATGTAAAATATATCTATTTTTCTATCATTTCTATTTATATGTTGTAACCCTTATCCATGTGATTTTTCTACCCATATTTTGTTAAAAATAGCTATAAATCACATTTCAACAATGGACACAGGCAATGAAATTACTGTGACATGTAGACTATATATGTACTACATATCTGTGAAGACATTTTTAAAGTCCTTTGAATGGCAAGGGTGCAATTTACATACATATTTCACTAATTATATAAGTTCTGTAGCTGATTGGAGGAATGAAGGTTTATGCATATATATTTATATAAAGAATGCTGTTCATACCACAGTTGTTGCAAATACTGTTCTGAATATGAAGTTTTGTACAATAAGGTTAGAATTCCTGCAATTTGGCTGCCAATGCAGCAAAAAGTATCTCCCTCAAAGAGAGAAGCAAAGCTTACATTGCACAACAACTATCAGCACTAAGCTGGTTAGAAAAGTTAATTTGGCTCTAACGTTGTATCTGTATTTATTGTTTTCAAAAGTGTTGAGCATGTCATGTCTTGAAGATATAAGGAAAGGGGATGATTAAAGCCATATAGAATCATAGAATCATTAAGGT